AATCAGTCTTTCTTTCATCCCTCCTCCTCCTCCTCCCCCTCCTCCTCCTCCTCGTCCTCCTCCTCGTCCTCCTCCTCCTACTCCTCCATTTCGAAGACATCAGGCGGTGAATGGTTAAAATGCCAAATTCTCAGGCACATCCTGTGCACAATGCGGATGCCATTATATTCTTTCCTAATGCCCATTCATATGCAGATTTGGTAAGGAAATTAGTAAAAGCAATGTAAAGCTTTGTTTGTTTGATTTCTGGTTTCCGTTGCGGTCACTTCTTAGGCGATTGCATTGCTTTTGTCGGGTGGTATGGCGTCTGGGCCTTCCGTTTTTTTGTATTTATGCCAATTCTACACAAGTCTTGTCTTGAAGCAAGTCTCAAGACTTTGCAATTAGGTAGCAAGAGAAAGCGAACCTATCTCGAAACACTTCTTCAAGTGTTCACTGCGAAGCTGAGAATGCCGTTTGTCTTCAGAATTTGCCTCACTCTCAAAGTTTTTTTGCACAAAAGTCGTGAACGACAGTATCGACATTTGCCATAAGATGGTCTTGAAATCTTCCAATTTAGGGTGTGTGGGAGGAGTGGAGAAAAAGAGAGAGAGAGGTCCCTTCCATGGTTGTATGAATACCTCGAAAATGTACATGCACGCGTAAATCCACTCCTTCTAAGGCAATTTTATTGTCTTCTTGGCTGTCTATAGGTCCAGTTTATAAAACGTTTGAAACTCCAGATCGAACTTAACTCCCAGCAGGGATCAGTTCCATTGCGGTCAACTACTGCCTCCCTTGATAACTTGCACGGTCAACTCATGAGTGCTGTCCCCCAACACTCATAACATTAGGACGGCTGGAGAGCTGAAGACATGACTGCACTGTACTTTTGGTGTCGGCTGCGATTTATTAGGTGGTCGCATTGCCTTAAAATGGTCGGCTTGTCTCTGAGCCATGTAAAACGGACTCAATCCCCTTCCATTTACTCAACTCACATGCATACTTCCTTCTTGAGTCCTTATGGTGGCCTCGATGCGCTGCATTAATACCGAAGACTGCCACCAAGAGAAAAGGTGATACCGTGGCGACGGATCAGACTGAAGAAAGTCATTGTCATTTGGCTCCCGTCAACCAATCAAAAGGAGATAAGAGGAGACACACGAAAATTGTGCAACGATGAATGAAAGGACCACATTACTAGTACGAGGCTACTGCAAAGAGGGCACAAGATGCTTACACACTTGCCTTTATAATTACAAGAGACTTTTACACGTCCTCACTATTTACAGTCTACCCACTGCTCCGCGTAACTTCAGAGTCCAAGCCTCTTCCCACTCCAAAACGAGTATTTTATCTGCTAGTCAGGGCACCTAGAGGAGAGGAGAGAGAAGTCAGTTTGGCCTGGTAAATCGAGTGTAAAATGGTAAAAATTAATGCACCTTTGTTGAGAGTGATCATCATCACCCTCTAAAATTGACACACAGGGAATGAGAAGGGAGAAGACTGCATTGGAATGCCGAAGTAGAAGCATTTCACCCCTCGCGTTGCATTGCTTTTAATTAGACGCAAAACGAATGCATTTCGTCACCTCTCAGTTTTTAGTCGGGTTGAGAACATGGAGAGGAGGGAGGGTGGAGGAGCTGGAGGGAGGAGGAGGAGGAGGAGGCAGGGCAAACCCGGGAGGAGGGGGAGAGAGCGAGGAGATGGCTTTCTCTCCTGGATTGAGGTGGTAGCGACAGCTATTACCAACTTGGAGGTGGATCAAAAGATTTCGAGTGGTTGTTTTTAATTGGCTCATCGATTGAAGGGCATGTGTCAGGTGAACTCCACTCTCTGCTTCCCTTCACCGTTCTGCCCCAGTCCTTCTCCCTCTCCCCACCCTCCGCCCCTTCGGCCTACTCTTCTACTCCCCCCCCCTTTAGCTGTACAAATGTGTGGGAATGACCATGGTGTTAAAATTTGTATTTTAAAGTCACCTCATTACTAATGGAGTGAGGCTATTCAGTAGACTGACTCACAGAACTGTCACATCAACTCTGCCGCAGTTCAACCACACATGCAAAGTGAGCACAAAACCTCTGTGTGAAAAGCCATTGCATGCATTTCTCAACTCTTCCAATATTAAAGAGCAGATTTGAAATGATTGGTGCGTCCCAACATCGGCCACCCCTTGGTGGTGCACAGATCGGCTCAGCAAGGCACAAATAAAAGTGTTTTTTGCTGAGTTTAAGAATTATGAGTTGTGAGAGTGAGTTTGTGCACATGGCGCCGGATGATAGTAAAAGGTGGCTGAACCATGATTGAAGCGAGGGAGATGAGGGTTGAAATCTTCACCACTTCCTTGGAGACCCTAACGAATGCAACTTCTCAAAACAATCTCTCACCGGTAGGACGGGCGCAATGCTAAATTCATGTGTGTGTGTGTGTGTGTGTGTTTCCACTGGCATTTAGGGGGTACAATCAGCCCTCATGATTCAGCCTCTACGTTGGTGGTGTAGTCCTTTGGGAGTAATTCTTGTCCGCCATGCCAAAAAAACAACGGTAAATTAGAGACTTTACATATGACTCTAAAAGCCAACTGAAAGCCTAATGTCAACTAAAACCAAGCTTTATGGCATTTAACGAACAATGAGAGGGTCTGGACGCCGGAGGCTCTGATGACCTTCGACCACTCCGACTAACAAGAGACCACTTATCATTCATGAAATGAGGGAATCTCACACCCGGCCAGATGTCACACGTCTGTGATGCCAGCTGTACGAGGGGCTTGGAAAGACACGAGGACAGATATGGCAAAAAATAAAATAAAAACCGCTTTGGTGTTCGACAAAGGCGACTCATCACCTAGCACTTCAGTGCAACATTTTGCGCAAATAGTCTCATATGCATCGCCGTGGATTTGCGATACTGTCACGCACGCACGGACGCACATGGGAGCCCCCTAAAGGCAGCCACAGCAACTAACACACAAAACATGCATAGCCGAATGCATCCCGATGGTTGTGGAGCACGTGGTCAACTGCATGTGTGCCTGTGTCGGGCTACTAGCTAGCCAATGGTACCCCTCTGGTCCATATGTGTGCCCAAGGGTGTGTGTATGTGTGCATGAGCCAATGAATGGCTGTATCAGCCACTTACACGCGTTCCACGCCAGATGGTACAAGCCGCGCACGTGTTTGTGTGCATATGAATGGCTAGACAGGCGTGTACGCCTGTCTGTCCCACTAAGGCTGCTGTTCGTTCGTTAGTTTGTCAGTCTGTGTGTGTGTGCAATGTGCGTAGATGAGTGAAGCGCGCACGGATGCGTTCACATGCATGCATGCACGCACGCACACATACACTTTTTCCCAGAATAAGCTAACTAAGCCACTTGGCCAGCACAATTCCTACCGCCCTGATTCTGTGTGTGCGCGTGTGCGTGTGCATGTGTGTGTGTGCCTTTCCGTGTCCCACTGATGTTCTGCCTCGCCTAGACGCCTATCTCTCTACTTTTACCTCTGGTCTCCTCCTTCCATATGTGTCAAAATGGTGAGAAGTCTTGCTGTCCTACTCCTTCTAACTGCAGTACATGCAAGCAGTCAAATCACCACGGATTTCGAGATTCATGAAGGGACCGAAGTGAACTCCACCGTTGGTTCACTGCGCGATGCGGTGCCCACTTATTCGAGCACAAAAACGGTCTTCCTCTACACCGGCGATTTCTTCTACGTGGACAGCCAATCAGGCGAGGTCAAGGTCAAAACTGTTCTTGATCGTGAAAGCCTCTGTCAAGATCACAAACAATGCTGTGGTACTGTGAACTGTACCCTCAATGAAACTGTCTATATGAGCGACGCACAGGCAAAAGGCACTATGACAGCAGTGCAGCTGAGAGTCAAGGTGATTGACATAAACGACAACGAGCCGACTTTTGCCAGTCCTCTCCAACGGGTAAGCATTATGGAGAACTCGGAACTGGGGAAGTTAATCGGTCTTCGACCGGCTACTGATGCTGACGTAGATCCACGGAACAAGGTCACGCGGTACCAGTGGACTGAGGCGACAGAGACATTTATCTTGGATCAGTCCAACCTGCCCGCCATTCAGTTACGTCTCAACTCGCCTGTGGATCGTGAGGTTCGGTCGAATTACTCCGGCGTCTTGTCGGCTTGCGATATTCACTCCTGCGTCTCGACCAAAGTTTTAATTGAGATTAAAGACGCAAATGACAACTTGCCGCAGTTCCGCAAACGTCATTATGGAATTGACATCCCAGAGGCTCTCTCTGTTGGGTCTGTCATACTGCATTTAAATGCCACTGATGCAGACTCACCGGAATACGCAAGAATATCTTACTATTTCCGTGAGCCAGTTGATCCAGATTTGGAGGACACATTTGAAATCGTTAAGAACACTGGAGAGATTAGATTACGGAGGTCGTTGGATGCAAAGATTCGCAGTTTCTACGATTTTAAAGTTGTAGCTTGTGACAGCAGTGCCAGTGATTGTGCCAGCAATCCGGCTTCAAACGCAGACGTTACAGTGCGTGTCAATGATGTTAACAATAACCGGCCCATAATCGAGGTCGTTCCCGCCGGCGAATCAGTTTCCACTTCAGACGATCTGGCGGTTCCGGAGAACTCCCCGCCGGGACAGATTGCAGTGGTTAGGGTCAAAGATGCCGATATTGGAGAGAACTCGCGAACCGCCTGTGAATTGGACAGCCACAGCACCTTCGAACTATCTCACAGTGCTCCAGACCTCTACTCCCTCCGGACCCTTCGATCTTTTGATTTTGAGCAGGAGTCCGTCCTCACCACAACCATCCGGTGTCGCGATTTTGGATCCCCGTCTCTCAGCTCCACACGAACTTTAACTCTCCGTGTACTCGATGTGAACGAGTACCCTCCGGAGTTTAAGATGCGAGTGTTCAAGGCCACCGTTTCGGAGAATTCGCCGCCTGGTGTGGAGATCATCAGCCTTAGTGCCGTAGACAGGGATGGTCAGTCGGAATTGCGATACAGTCTAGCTCCTCCTCTGCCTCACATTGGTACAAGTGAGGATCCCTATCCTGCGGAGAGTTTGTCCAACTCCTTTGAGAACCTTGGAGTCAATGCACACTTCGATTTGGATCCAAAAACCGGAGTTCTGCGAACCAGCAGGGTGCGTCTATGTATGCGTCTCTTTTTTCCTCTCTTTGTGCATTAAAAACAGTCGGTTAGGCTTCCAACTAATAGTCGTTAGGTTGGTTTTTTTTTCGAGTCTCGAGGGAGTGTGGTTGTGTGATGCTTCCACAACGGGATTAATGTGTCCACATGTGCATGGTGGTTCACTTGTTCCTCATTAAGTTATGTAGTGATTGAGTCTTGAGACAAGGTAGGCTTGAGCTGGCGTCGGTCAAGCAAGGCTTTACTTGTAGGAGCCTCAAATTATGTAAAAATACCTCAAATGCCTTCATGCCGTTCGCCTCCCTTATATCGATGCGATCGCTTCATTGGAAGATCTATTTAAGCTTTCGCAAAGCTTTCGTTCTGTTGGTCTTGTCAGGCGGGCGGAAAGGAGGCATTAGCTTGGCTCCTCAAAGTCGGCACCACGCAACAACTCCAAGCTATGAAGGCACTCATGGTCCTTCTAGACTTGAAATTGTGATTAGTAGGTGGAGTTTATGCTCCACCCGCGGTAAATAGCGATGTCACAGGCGGAGAAACTGTTTCCGGTCAAAAGAACTGCACATTTACTCACTGTCCCACTATCTCTTCCTCTGCCGCATATTTTCCCATCCATTGAGTTGTACAGGAGTGTGAGTGGAGAAAGGCTAGTCTTCCCGCATTCTCCTCCCTCCCCCCTATCTCTTCAGTATGTCGGAAGTGAGGAGGTGTACAATTATTTTGCCATTCATTCGCTTCAAACAGTTCCGTTGACACGTTTGGAAATCGTAAATTTCCCCCATCATCTTGCATTGGCTTCCCACATTCACTCTATCACTCCTCCAACCCTGACTGGAGGGTTTCCGTGTGGCGCAGATATTGCCGCCCCACGGTGCCTGCGTTTTGCGTGATTCCAGTCTCCTTGCAAGTGGACGTTTTAGTCCTCTGTGCTGGGGATTACGTTCACGTCCAGTTTTGCCTGGGCAGTCCCAACCTCCGGTCCTTACGCCCTTCGTCGACTGGGGGGATGTGGCTCCGATTGTTTGCTTCCACAGCATCGTGTGCCCTTTCCACCTCCTTCCCACTGATCCACCCTCAAAACGACGAGTCTCAGTCTCTCGGATAGAGAGGGTTGAACTCTTGCAACTCATCACATTCTTTTTGTCAGGTCGAGTGGAAGATGCAATTTAGATTAGTCTGTTGAGCAGGGATAAATTCTGTGCGAAATTAATGAGTGTCTTTGCTGGAAATCACAAACCGTTTTGCCAATTCAGCACACGAGCTATATGTCAGGTTGAGCAGTCTTGTGGGAACGCCCTTTTTTTTCGAAATTCGTTTTGAAACACTTCATCACCTGCATACTCCCCTGCCTGAGCAACTCACACATCCTAATTTCGCCCTTTGCCTCAGACACCAGCTCCGTCTGTTTCGCCTCTTCCCGCTTTGCGCTTGAGGTGGGCATGAAATACAGCAAAACTTTGCAAACTATTGCATTCTTCCGACCTACTTCCATGGCCTAACTGGTTTAAACACGTTTTCTCTTCTCATCTCCGAGTCCCTCGTTGCCCACAAGGCATCGATGGGGATTCGTGGGCCCTCTAGACGTGTTCACCTTCCAAACTGAAATCATGCCTTCAGCTTTCCTTTAGGGGATGGACAGTGTGGGCTCCATCCACTAAGTGGATTGTTTGGAAGCAGACGATGCGTGTATTTGCTCGCTCAACGAACGTTGAAGCTCCAAAACTCCTTTCTCGTTGCAGACTTGATCCTCCAGTCAACCAGCTATGAAAACCTAGAACTGCTAGCCGAAACTCTATTAGCCTACTGACAGTCATTGGTGCCGGTATTTGGCCTTTCCATTTGGTACTGGGTGTGAACGCATTGTTCCCGTCACTCACACTAAACCCTACTGTGTGTGTGTGTGTGTTGTTTTTGTCGTGTCACTCTCGATTTACTCCAAGTGTCAATAACACTGCACGAGTTTCCATTTCTTCGCGCTATGAGTAATAGGGGGTGTTCCAGGCCTCAGGAGATGTGGCTTCTGTTGTTGAGTGATTCACCCCCAGAAGGGCATTTTTTATTTAAACCATTTCTGGACGG